ATGTTTTAAGACAAAAGCTCAAAGAATGACTTTTTGTTTTTCTCCCAGGAGACTCTGTGATCCCAGATTCGAAATGTGACCAGCAAGAAATCTGTCACAGGGGATGGGGCCTCACTGTGGGGAGCCTCCCCCCAACCCTGGCCTCAAGTGAACTTCTGACTCATCTGACAGTCACACTCTGCCAGTGCTCACATGAGGCCGGAGCTCAATGCCTCCATGAACCTGCACCAGGTGACGTTCCACCCCAAGAGGATCCTGGCTACTGGCATCTACACCTCAGCACAGAGTGCCAAGGCCAGGGACATGGCTGCAGGAACTCATCAAATGAGCCCTCAATAGAGCAACAAAGCTGGTGGCAGCAAATCAGCATAATGGTAACCATCATCATCATCACCACAATTATCATCATCATTGTTGCTACCATCAGCATCATCATCACCATCTCCATCATCATCATCTCTCTATCATCATCATCACCATTTCCACAATTACCATCATTATCACCATCATCATCAATACCAACATCATCACCATCATCATCATCTCCATCATCAGCATCTCCATCACCATCATCTCCATCATCATCTATCATCATCATCACCATTTCGACCATTACCATCATTATCACCATCGTTATCAATACCAACATCATCTCTATCACCATCAGCTCCATCATCATCTCACTATCATCATCATCACCATTGCGACCATTACCATCATTATCACCATCATCAACAATACCAACATCATCACCATCATCATCAATACCAACATCATCACCATCATCATCATCTCCATCATCATCATCTCCATCACCATAATCTCCATCACCATCATCTCCATCATCATCTATCATCATCATCACCATTTCGACCATTACCATTATTATCACCATCATCATCAATACCAACATCATCACCATCATCATCATCTCCATCATCATCTATCATCATCATCACCATTTCAACCATTACCATTATTATCACCATCGTTATCAATACCAACATCATTTCTATCACCATCAGCTCCATCATCATCTCACTATCATCATCATCACCATTTCGACCATTACCGTGATTATCACCATCGTCATCAATATCAACATCATCACCATCATCCCCATCATCAGCATCTCCATCACCATCATCTCCATCATCATCTATCATCATCATCACCATTTCGACCATTACCATCATTATCACCATTGTCATCAATACCAACATCATCTCTATCATCATCAGCTCCATCATCATCTCTCTATCATCACCATCACCATTTCGACCATTACCATCATTATCACCAACATCATCAATACCAACATCATCACCATCATCTCCATCATCATCATCTCCATCATCTCACTATCATCAGCATCATCACCATTTCGACCATTACCATCATCACCATCATCAATACCAACATCATCACCATCATCATCATCTCCATGTCCATCATCATCCTCATCATCACTGTCACCACCATCGTTGCCATCAACATCACCATCATCATCACCATGACCATCCTTATATATACACATCCTTATATATACAGCAGCAGGCACATACTGAGCACTGCTATGTGCCAGGCACTGAGTACTTGGCATGCTCTGTCTCACTGAATCTTTACAACATTATGATATGGTTAACTCTATCCCTCCCACTGGCACAGAGAGGATAAGCAAGTTGCCCAGATTTACACAGTGATCATGAGCTGAAGCCAGGAATCTGAAGGCAGGCAGTGGGACTCTTAACCATTACCCTGAAACTCAAAGAGATTTCCCAATTGCTTTATATGCAGGGTGAATCTTGAAAGGGACCCCTTTAATCAAAAATTCCATCAGCTATGTCAAGTAATGACACTTCCTGAGAAATTTCAGAGTGCCCCAAATCACTAGCCACCTGTCTTCTCTGTGCCTAGCAATACTTGTGCTATAGACAGATAGAAAAATAGGACATGTCCCTTCTAAATATTTCTCTGCAGAGCAAAAATAAAATTTACACATTCCCAAATGTGATACCAAGGTTCCCTTTTTGGACAGGTAAAACTCACTTAATGGAGGTTTCATGCACCTCCTACTACTCCAGTTTCAAATTTTGGGGTGCTCCATGGCAAAGCAGGCTGTGTCTGAGATGATAAGACTCCCAAGTCCCTGGCAAACTGTTCTGCCTCTGAGATGGGCAACCCTGTCATCCTCAGGCCACTCTTGCTGGGTATAAAAACAATGGATGAGTATGGAGAATTGTTCGGTGCCAGGTGTTGCTCCTCTAAACTCTCACAGCAATCGCTTAGGAAAAATATTTCTAAGCCTCAATTCTGCTGGTGAAGGAAAGGAAATCAGAAGAGAAGAGACCTTTTCCAGGGGCAACACGGTGACATGCAACAGAGCCCAGATTCTCGCCCAGATCTTCAGTCTTGAGGCACCTGCTAACTAAGTACAGCAATGCATGGCCTCCCAGGTTGCAGCTCTGGAATCCCCGAGATCACTCCTGCTGTCTTAGGTGTCTGAGGAGTGTGAGTAGTGTCTACGCTCCACCAACTCTTGGGGGCCCAGGTCTACATCTGAAGACTGCCAAGGCAAGGGGGTGCCAGGGAGTTCAGCCCTCTGTCCCACCACTCCTTCCATCCAGGGAAGCTTAAACAGTTGTTTTATTCCCCCCCTTCCCAAATCCCCTTTACCTGGGGCTCCAGAAAAGGAGATGATGCAGCCTGTTCTCAGTAGCCTAAGCAAAGAGCTCACCTCCTGCATCACCAGACGGTTCTTCCTAGTGTCTAACCTAAATTGCTCCTGCTCTAGTCTAATTCATTTACATGGTACCCGCTGAGCTATGAGGAACCCAGTTAGGGGAATCATCCCCACATTTCCTCTTGTCCCTTTGCCCAGGCCTGGAATCTCACGACCGCGGCCCAGCCGTGACGAGCGCTACTGTAAACCACCTGCTCCCTTCCCCGCAGCCAGTGTCTCTTTCCAGAACTCACATTTCTCTGCATTAGAAGCAAACACACATATTTTCCTCTTTTTAGATTTGTTTTGCTAAACAAATTAATCTAGCACCAGATTATATTATGAAGAACCATAAATCGTTTCCAAGATAAGCATCTGTCGAGAAGGATTAGCAACCTCCGATGTACTATGAATTAATTTGCTAAGCCTATAACGCTGTCCCGGGTGTTTAACTTTAGTAATAACAAACGTAATTTGGAATAAATGGGAACTTGTCTCCTCATCCACGTCTATATAGTAAGTGACGTACACAGAGGAGGTGACACTAAGGGAGCGTAGCATGAAATCCTATTATAATGATGGCTGCTGAGTTTACGGAGCTAAAAACCAACGCTTTGTAAACTGCTCGCAGGCACCTAACGGTGCGAGATGAACCGCAGGCCCTGCATGTCCATGGATTCCCAAAGAGGCTGCGTGGGAGGTAGCAGGTGCAGGGCCTCCGGAGCCTCTTCTTCCAGAGCCTCTCCCAAGCCCACAGCCTCCACCTCCAGGCACAGCCTCCGGCATCCGCAGGGAGCTTGGGCTGTGCTTCCATAGAAACACTGCTCTCTAGGGAAGAGGAGCTCAGAATAAAAAGCGCAGGTTCTGTTGTCCAGGTGAAGGAAGAAAGTAGGTCACCGGCTGAAGGACAAAAGCCGCCCACCCCAGGAAAACCTGTCCAACGACTGCCTGGTGCCTGCCTGCCTGCCTGAGATGAGGAGGAACCCAGGCCAGGACGCAGCCTAGCGAGGACGCAGAGGGCCTGGCTGCCTGCCGTGCTGGCCGCCTACAGGTGAACTCCAAAGAGCAGTTTTCTTCCCTCCCCTGGATTCTGCAGAGGCCTGGGTGGGTCCCACGGAGCCCACAAGCCCAAGGGTGTGAAAAGTGACAGGTGAGGAGGCCACAGGGTGTCCTGTGCCTTTTGCACTGACACCCTGAAACCTGCATCGGATTTTACAGTTAGCAAATGCTGCTGTTTGTCTAGAATGTGCATGCACAGATCTGAGTTGTGAACTTCTGAGCCAGCCTGGCACATTGGGCTGTGCCAGTTAACAAGGCAGAGAAAACTGGAGGGAGGTGAGGGTGACAGGGGGCCCGGGGTGCTGAGCTCTCCCCCACAGGCCTGACTTGAAGCCTGATGACATCAGTGCAGGCTGCCAGTTCAGGGACAAGGCTTCCTTTCCAAGGGTGACTCCTTTCAAAGCAAATGCACAGGACCATGTACAGGAGGAAAATAAATAACAACAGAACTGCACAGAAGGAGATATCCAAAGCCAGCGACCCGTGTGCTTCCACAGGCAGCCAGGGCAACAGCAGCAGGGAGCCAGAGCCCTTTCCAAAGCCTGCGTTCTCATCTCCAGCCTCCCAACACCCTCCTCACACATCCCCAGGGAGCAGAACGCTGCCACCTGAATCACTGTCTGAGAAGCTTCTGTTAACACCGCTGGAAGTTCTTCCTTTTACCTGGCCTTGGTCTTGCTTGCTATTTAAGGCCGTTCCTGATCCTCAGCTGAGGTCAAGTTGGCAGGCACCCTGCCCCCACCCACGGGTCCCACACCCTTGAAGGCTTTTGGAGACTCCCGGAGTGGGGAATCCTTTACTCTGTCATGAGACAAGCAAGCTTCTTTACTCCCTGGGCCGGCCCCAGAGACTAAATTCTACGATTCTGGAAGGAAGATATGGCAATGTGTGGTGGATTCTGCCGGTCCATACCAGAGGCACGAGGGGAGCAGCACCTGGCAGACCTGGCTGGTCCCTGACAGAGGTACGAGGGGTGCAGCGCCCACCTCTAGGTGCATACTAAGGAGGGAAACTCTCCCTTCTCACAGCCCGATTCCTCTAGGGCACGGCCTGTATCTAACTGTCTACACGTGCGTGCAAGCTTGTGGCTACATCATGCTTATATCTCTCAGAGCCTCCGCATGTGACATCACCCCCGGGACATGCAAGCCTCTCTCCTGAGTCACACCCCCAGCCCTCAACCCCAAGCAAACCCAAACCAGAAGAGAGACGGCCATACCTGAGGCCTCCCCCAGAATCCTTGGGGGCTGGGTGGCTTCCCCACTGTTGCTGGGACTGGTGGCAGGCTCTGTTGTGCTAAGCCCACCTGGGATCCTTCTCCGGGGATCCAGGGACTCAGTGAACCCCTTAGTCTGCAGCGTCATGGGGGTGGCTGTGGTGGTGGCAGTGGTGGCGGCCACCGTTGTCTTCCGTGTCTGTAGGATGGAGACCGTGGTGGGGCCGTAGATGGCTGGAAGTGTGTTGGACTCCAGGCCCTCCTCGTCCCCCGTGGGCCCCCAGGCGATGAACTCAGTCTCTGTGGTGGGCCGACTGCCTCTGGAGTCGAAGCTGGTAAGGCCGTCCCCCTGCAGGTGCCTCTTCCCCCGCCTCAGGAGGGCCTGCTGCTCTGGGGCCCCCCCGGCCACCGCGGAGGACGAGGACGAGGACGAGGACGACGAGGCGATGGAAGGGCTGGATTTGGCCACAGCTGGGGGCTTGGCCAGTCCTGCCTTGGGCACAAGGGCGGCCACCTGGTCCCGGGGCTTGTGAGCCCGTCTGGCTCGGGACACCTGCATCTGTCCATGGGTCCGCTCCACGCGGGGCGGCCGGGGGCTCCACACGGGGGTCGGGACCCGCGCTGGCTGTCCACTCCTAAAACTCCACAGTCGGGGTGGCCGGGGCGGCGACCGAGGCAGGAGCCAGAACTCGGAGCCCGGGCCCAGGGCCTCGCAGGTGGGCAGGTCCACGGCGAGCTGAAACATGGCTATCAGTATCCAGGCATGGCTTCCGAGGGGGCGGCCCGGCCAGCGGATGGACATGGAGCTGTGTGGGGGGAAGGAAAGAAGACCAGTCAGTGGACGCTGAGCGGGGGGACTGGGCCCCGGGGCCCTCTCTCTCCAGCCCTCACTGTGCCAAGGTCGCTCTTCTCTTGCAGAAAGAGCTCCTCCTAACTTCAAAAGGAAAGCCGAACCCCTTCCTTCCTTTACTTCAAAGGCTGACTCACGTGCGGTTTGTTCATCAGACCTGAAAAGCACAGTGCAGGCTCGAGGGTGCGGGGAGCTCTTCCCGGTACTGCGGGGCTGGGCCCTGCCAGACACAGCTTGGCTGCTCACCGGATAGTCCACTTCACGGGAGGGTAAACTGAGCCTCAGAAACCCCCAGCCTTCCAGATCAGCCTTGACAAGATCTGAAAAGACCTGGAGTCCCTCCTTCATTTTGCCCATCACATGACGTAAGTGAGAGGGTGGCAGAACAGAACGCCGGCCTCTGCCTGGGACCCCAGGGCCAAGTGCTTTCCTCTAGGTAGCCCAGGCCACCTCCCACCCACTGGAGAAGCCCCTCTCCCCAGGTCCGGGGGGGCAGAGGTCTCAGGCTCCCAGCTTGAGCGGCAGATGCTTCCTGGCACCTACGCCTGCCAGGCCCTCCCCCTGCCCCTCACCCAGAGCCCAGCATGGGTATTGTATGTAAACAGGCATTGCTTGAAATGCAGTACATGGAAAAGCTTCTTGCTTCGAGCCTCCCTGGATGGTACTCAGGGAAATGAGATCTGCTCTGGATAAGCTGGGAGTTTATTGACCCGAAGTGTTTGTTCTGTTGACATTTCCGCTCCCCCTGTTTATCTGCAGCACCGGTGCCCTTTGAAACCCTGTTATCCACCTCCTCAGCTCCCAGGAGGGCTGGAGAAAGGGCAAACCTGGGCGACTCGAAGCAGGGCAGGGCTGCCTCTCCAAGCTGCAGGGTTGCAGGGGAGAGGCCTGGATGGGCAGGGCAGAGCCTTGGTCTGCCAAGCCGTCCCTCCCCAGTTCACACGGAGCAGCTCTGTCACCAGGCCTGGAGTCGCTTCCGGACCAGTGGACGCTCCAGTGTCACGTGAAAACCAGGGCGAGGCACAGAGCCACGTGGAAGGGCTCAGAGGAGCCAGGCCCACGCTCCCTCTTCCACCAGCACAGATAATTGAGGACTGATTATAGGTGTCATTCAAAGTCAGCTCTCATCACCAGCCTCACGTCTGAAAGTTAAAATGAATCCCAAAACTGTAATGACTGCCTTGGGTGGGGTGCAGGTGGAGGGTGTGAGGGTGTTCAGGTGCCAAGTGCCAGCCTGAGGAGCTGCTCAGAGCCAGGCGGGGAAAGTGAGTTGGGCAGAGTTTTTCTGTATAAGGCAGTGAGTGACTTCAGGAAAGAAGGCAGCTGTGTGTGTCCTTGCGATGTGTGCATGGAAGTGTGTGAGTGTGTGCGTGTAGGCATGCACACATATGTGAGTGTGTGTGACTGGATATGAGTGTGTGCACGTGAGTCCAGCTGAGTGTGCCAGTGTGAGATTGAGCCAGCATCCATGAATGTAAACACGCATCTGGGGTGTGTCCACGAGTGTGAGAGACTGTGTGGGTGAGGGCCAGGGCGTCTGTGTGTATTTGGTGTGTGTGTGTGTGAGTGTACTGCTATGTGACTATGTCCGTGTGTGTGAGTGCATCTGTGCGTCAGTGTATATGAGTGTGCAAGTGTGTCTCTGTGTAAGTATCTGTGTATTTGTGTGTGGTGGTATCTGTGTGCAACTGTATCTGTGTGTCCCTATGTGAGTGTGCAGGCCTGTGTGAAAGTACCTGTGTATTTGTGTGTGGTGGTGTATGTGTGCAAGTGTATCTGTGCATCCCTGTGTGAGTGTGTGTCTGTGTGAGAATATTGGTGTATTTATGGGTATTGGGGTGTGTGTGTACAGCTATCTGTGTGTCCCTGTGTGAGTGTGCAAGTGTGTCTGAGTGTCCATATGGGAGGCTCTATGTGTGTGTCTGAGTGGGACAGTGCAGCTGTAGCTGCGTGTGAATGTGTCTCTGTGGGCACACCCTCCATTCAGTACTGAAACCCTCGTGCCCAGGGCAGACTCTCCCTGATATCTGGGGAACAGATGGCCCTCTGGTCATCAGGAGGGTGAGAGAGAAACTCTTGCTACTGAGTGCTAATTGAAGAAAGGACTAATCCCCAAACAATAAGACTTGTTTTTTTTTTCTTTTTGTTTGGCTTCCTTTTTTTTTTTTTTTTTAATTTTTTTAATGAGAACGGAGGTACTTTGCTGCAGACAGGAGAAGCTCCTCATTGTGCTAACCCTCCCCGTGTTTCTGCCGGTGTGCAGTTTCTCTGCAGTAGCAGCCAGTAGCAGCCACGCTCCGGCAGGGACCAGGACCGCCACCACCACACGGAAGGATTTGGGACAGGCTTAAATTCCCCCATATGCACACTAAGGTAACTCCTCCGTGGCTGCAGGTGACCCAGTGAGGATGGGAGCTGGGTTAGAATCTCTAGTTCTTCCATGACCTGCAGAGCTGCATGTGAGTCTAGCCCCCAGGAAGATGAGATGCTGCTCTGAGCAGTTGTAAGACCTCACCAGACTCCACCATGGTCTACCAGGCCTCATCAGACCCCACCACACTCCACCAAGCTCCACCAGCCTCACCAGGCCCCACCAAGCCTCACCAGACCCCATCAAGCTTCACCAGGCCTCGCCAGACTCCACCATGGTCTACCAGGCCTCACCAGGCCTCACCAGGCCCCACCACACTCCACCAAGGCCCCAGCAGCCCCACCTGGCAGGCTGAATCAAAAGCTGTAACAAGCAAACCTGCCTGCCATCAGCACTTAAGAGAAATATTGCCCCAGGAAATTAAACCCATAGCACCCAAGCCTGTGCTCGCCTCCCTGGCATAACTTCACACACAGGATATTTCTGTGATTTTTCACCAATCATGGCTGTAATTGGTTACTATAGAAACCCCCTCGTCTTCAAGCCACCCAGCTGTTATGCAGAAAAACCAACGATTTGCAACAGTGGCCAGGAGAGGTCGATCTGCTTTTCCTCTTCAAGTCCGGCTTCTTCCTTTTTAAGTGATTGATTTGTTCAGAGAGGAAGAAAAAAGAGGTAAGGTGGACAACCAAGAGAGAGGCGCCAGCAGCCAAGAAATGTGGGGAGGCAGGGGGAGCCCCTCCCACAGGGAGATCTGTAGGGGTCTCCACTCATCTCTGTGCAAGGCCAAGGGTGTCCCAGGCTCTGCGTTGCCACCACCTGCCTGAGCTCCATGTGCTGCCTAGACCTGGTCCTGGGACTCCTGCGGATGCCTCAGTGAGAGGCTGCAGCCGGAGGAGGATCTGGCTCTATCTCCAGGGACCGGGGAGCAGAACAAACAATCTCTGTCCTCATCGCTCAGGTGGCTCTGAGACGAGGCAGAGGCTGGACCACTCTTCTTGCTTATCCTTCTCAGCCTGGGGCTGGGCGCTGAGCGGCTCTCACTCTGTGATGAACAGGCTCTGGGAGGGCCTCACCACAGGAAGGCGTCAGACCTTCACTAAGATGGCAGGCACCCCCATGCCTCGTCGGGAGGGAGTCCCTGCAGCACAGCTGCTCACCACGCCACCAACCACCAGGAGGCCAGGCTTCAGGGTGGGCAGAAGTGGTACCGGGTCCCCCAAACTCAAGCATCTATAGGCCCCTTAAAAACACATCACCCATGTCACACCCAGAGAGAGCTACGAACAGAAAGACAGACAACACAAAGTGTTGGTGAAGACACAGGAGATGGGAGAGCTAGTACTCTGCAGGTGGGAATGAAACCCACAATGCCCCTGGGCAAAACAGTTTGGCAATTCCTTAGAACCCTAAAAATGGAGTTACAGCAACCCGGATGCCCCCTCTTAGGCATGGACATCTGTCCACATGAAAACCTGCACATGGAGGCCCGGGGCCACACTCCTCCCAACAGCCAAAGCTCACACAGCCCACGTGTCCATCAGCTGAGGAATGGATACAGGGAATCTGGCCTGATGATACAATGGAGTGTTGCTCAGCCTTTAAAACTGTAGAAGGATTACTTGATCTTATGCTTCGATGTGGCTGTACCTTGAAAACCCTGAGAAACGAAAGAAGCCAGGCACTCAAGGCTACGAGGCACACAGTTCCATTTCAGGAAATGAAGAGTGGGCAGATCCATAGAGACAGAAAGATGAGCCGTTGCCCCAGGCTCGGGAGAAGGGTTCTAGGGTGAAGGGTTTCTTTTTGGGGTGACAAAATGTCCTGGAATTGTGTGTGGGGGTACTGAACAACTCCATGCATATATGAAACCCACTAAACTGTACCCTTATGTAAAAGTGGGTGAGTTTTTTGCAATGTAAATTATATCCCAACACAAATCAAAAGGAATGTGTGCAAGGGTTGGGGGACCATGTGTGGTATGTGGCATGGCACCCCAATCCTGGCCCTGGCGGATGGGTGGAAGGCAGGGCAGCCCCGGAGCTGCAGGCATGTGGGCAGGAAGAAGCCATGGAGACTCTGGCTTCATCCACCCCGTCCTTGCTGGGACACCCTGAATGTGCGACAGGGCCCTGCCTGAACACCTGAGAACAACATCCACACCCTTCAGGAAGGGGTGGGAGCAGCTCCCTCTCAACAGCTTCCAGCCCATGATTTTCAAATGGAGAACAACACTCTTTGGCCAGCCACCACCCAGCTGCTTCCAAACGGGGAGCGATGGCTCCGTCTCACTTTATTTTCTAGTTTGTGGCTTTCTTGCTTCTCTTCCTTTGAAATTTTTATTGAAATCTTTTTTCCCCAAGAACAGTTTAATAACGTTTGCTGAATTGAGATTCAATTCACTACCTTCTGTGTATTTTCTTCACAGAAGAAAATCACTGTCAATTAAGGGGACAAAGACATCTCTTCCACTTACAGCTGCGCCTTTCCTTGAGCCGTGAGCCTGCAGCATCAGCCTCCTGGGAGCAGCTGGTGTCTGCCTGGCGGGAGCACAGGCACAGTGAGATGCAGGCCAGGCCCTGTAA